CTCCTCAAAGTCATTTTACTCAAAAATACTTGCTAGCCACAGTATTTCTCTTTTCAGAAGTTCTTTTCAGTTTCCCAAGCTGCTTTTTCCATTTGTAAAATGTAGGAAACCTTGTAGAGAGAAGACCATTGTCCAAGAAACAGGCTCAGAGAAAAGATAGAGAAACTGTTCTTATCCATTTAAATATTGGGTCAGCAGTTTCCCTAGTACCGTGCTCACAGTTTTCCCTAATGCTTTATATGTACCCTATTGAGAGAGGTTAAATGCTCAATATAGGGTATTTGGCACAGTTATGGGATAACAGCTTTTCACACCCATGCACATAGATGAAAAGTGTAAGCATGTCTGCACATACAATCACTCTAAGAACTAATTTTCCATGATGTATTATTATAGATTTCTTTGTTTGCCAGCTTCAGTCCATAACACTTCAACTACACAACACTGTAGCAAGTTCTTGTCCTAGCAGTCTAAAGGAACAGAGAAGATCAAATAGAACAAGGCAAACAAGGCAGAAAGGAGAAGACCGTCTTGCTAATAACTTACAAGATCTAATTTGAAGAATTATCCCATGTGTAAACAAAATAAAACTAAAGTGATATGTTAGTGTGGGTAAAGTAGAAAATATCCTTTAAAATGTCTATAAATACTTTTAAATTACAATAAAATCAAATATGCTTTATAAATATTTCAAAAAGTCCCACATTACTTCATAATTTTTATTCTCCCAGATATGAACATGCTTACCTCTCTCAACATTGGATCCATTATTGAATTGAGATTGACAGTTCCTTCATAGGTTAGATAGTAGAAAACATTTAGAGATCTGACAGCTTCCGGCCCTTGCTGCTTATAGCCAAAAATCAAATCAATCCACTGGTGCAGTTGACAGGAAACAAATTCACTTTCCAAAGCCTGAAACAAAATACAACACTGTTTATATTGTTTCTTAAACTTATTTGCTGTCCACAGTCTTAAATAAACAATAATGCAAAGGTTAGAAATATGCAAGTGCCTTAGAGCAGGGGTCCTCAACCTTGGCAACTTTAAGACTTGTGGACTTCAACTCCCAGAATTCCTCAGTCAGCACTGGCTGACCCCTGCCTTAGAGAAAAAAAAATATTTTACAAACTATGACAATGCTAGTTGCAGCTGTTAGAACCTGTTGGATCAACTGTGCCATGCAGGTCCCTGGTGGAGTTTAAAACATTTGCAACTGAGATTGTACTAGTATTAAAAGAAAAGAATTCAAGGTTGAACCATGAACAATTAAATTCACCATAGATGAGTAATTATAGTCTAATCTGCCAATAATAGGGAAAGACGAGAGACTATATTAATCATCCCAATCTTGTATCTTTCAGTTGTGTGGGTACCTGTGTCTCACCACATTTGAAGAGTACCAGCTTGGGAAAGAAAACACTATTATATAGCTAAAGAAAAAATGCTGCAGCCTCATAATTTATACAGTTTCCAACTGCAGAAACAGGAAACAATAGAGGTAGCCACTATCTTAAAATGATGCAATCTATATATTGAATGTAACATAACTTTTATCACAACTTATAATTTATTACATCTATCCTGAATGTTGACAATATCACATAAATAGCTAGAAGGTAATTGGTAAATTGTACTAAGTATAACAGATTTGACAAATGTATAGTTTTCTGGATTATACATAAAATATGTGTCAATTACAATTTCCTCTGTAGTATGGAAAAATGCAACAAACATACTAGAATTTCAGACTTTTATATTGCATCATTTACCTTCACCTATAGGTGTCAATAGTTTTCAAGAAGTGCTTTATGTGTAAACCAGCATTATTTCAAATGGAGCCCAATATTGAAATCTTAGACTTCCTTCAGTAGTAGATCCTCTATATATAATTAAAATGGGCCAGCACTAACCTTTCGAAGGTTAAATAATTAATTTATATATCAATTAATTAATTATAATTAAACAATTATTAATTATTGAAATAATTAAATAATCAAAATAACCATAACTGTAATAGTAATATAATATAATATTGGTTTTGGTATTTATTAATATTGTAATAATAAATTATAATAATAACATAATTAAAAGCATTACAAAAATCTTATTTCAGAATCTTGTCTTATGATAGAAATCAACCAATGTAATTTCTAAATCAGTTTAAGTTATAATTGCTACACGTCATTAAACACATCATCCATCATTAATGAGTTAAGCTTGACTTTTGAAAAAAGTTCATCTTTTATTTCATTTATTGTGTTCTCTTCAAGCAATATACAGCTACAGTACATTGATCATTATATAAAATAATGTTTCTTTCCAGGAAGTCTTTTTTATATAGAGACTTCAAATCATTATAACTTTTATCTAAAATATAGTTTCTAAATGCACATTATTTTTGATATCTTGATAGAAATCACTTGATAGGTGATTTCTCAGATTCAGTAAAAGATGTCTAGTGAGTCTAGGACTGTAAGCCCTACAAGACAGAGCGCAATAAGAAACATACACCACAAAAACCTAAAACTACTCTTACTAGAACAGCTACTGGATTTTACTAGTCTTAATGTGCTTCCCTTCCTCCCTTTTTTTTAATCTTAATGAGAATTAAACGGGAAGAACTATTTGAAATATATTTGTAAGTCACTTTCCTGGGCTGGGCTTAGTCTTGTTTATCTGAATTAGTAGAGCAGTGATGGCGAACCTTTTAGAGACTGAGTGCCCAAACTGCAACCCAAAACCCACTTGTACATCGTCGGGTGCCAGGTGGGTGTGGCCCATTGGCTGGGTGTGGCCATTTGGGGGGGTGGCCATTTGGGGGGCATGGCCAATTGGGTGGGCATGGCTGCGGTGGTAATGGCAGACTGGGCGGGACTAAAAAGTTCAATCAATCAATTCCAACTTTGCAAGATCTTTTTTTTTCCCAGTGAGAAGTTGAAATTGACTGATTGATTGAACCTTTTTTTTTTTTGGACATGGCGACGGAGGCCTAAAGCGAAAAGGTTTTATAAAATCCAGCTGAAGGCCTAGCACTGGGGCGACGGTGCGCGTGCCCACAGAGAGGGCTCTGAGTGCCGCCTCTGGCACCTGTGCCATAGGTTCGCCACCACTGTAGTAGAGGGTCTTTCCTCTGTCCTTAAAGGCCTCCTTCTTTACTCACTGCAGATGTACATGTAACAAATGGTTATGCAAATAATTTCTGCATTCTTCCAAATTTTTTGATTGATTGATTGATTGATTGGTGGCATCACATCAGTCTCAACTCTAAGTAACTTCATAGATTTTCTCCATGACAATCTGCTCTAGTCTGTTCTTTCAGGTCTTCACCACTGAAATTAAGGCCATCTGTCCTGCTGTTGGTCATCCTCTTGACTTTCATTCTTTCTGTCCCAGCATTAGAACCTTCTTTAGAGAGTAAATCTTTTCATCCTGTGCCTGAAGTGGGATAATCTGAGATGGATCATTAGTGCCTCAAGTGAGAACTTTGGGGTTGATTTGTTTGTTGATCCATTGATTTTTCTGCTTCATTTTTTTGTTCATGATATTCTCTGGAGACTTCTCCAAACCAAAGTTCAGAAGCATCAATATTCTTTCTATTTAAAGTCCTTGATAAATTAAAGATGAAGGCCTTCGAAAAGATAGTCAGATACCATGATATGTATATACCTACAAAAATCATAATAATACATGCAATAGTATTATTCCCTGTGAAACTCTATGGGTATGTAAGTTGGACTAGTTTGCAGCATATTTCTTGACTGCTTGCATGCTTGAGACAGAAGTTATCTAGCACTTCAGTATCTTAATTGACAATTCTAAGCTTAGTTATTGTACCTATTGTACCTGAGTGTAATTAGTGTGTTCTTCTTTATATTTAATTTTAGTCCAATGTTTCCATCAATACTTTTTGATGTAATTACTACAGCTTGCAGATCCTTTTCCTTTATGGCTGTCAGGGTGGAGACATCAGCATAGCACAGGTAATTGACGTTTCTTCCTCCAGCTTTAAAACTATGCATATTTTATTCCAGTCCAGCTTCCCTTAATATATATTCAATATACTGTATTTCTCCCAAAATAAGACCCAGTCTTATTTTTTTTTTTTTGCCTCCAAAAGAGGCATCAGGTCTTATTTTCAGGGGGTGTCTTTTCCACTCACCTCCAGCACTGACAGCACCGCGCTGCTGGCCCACTTCTGCGTCCGAAGGAGCAGCTTCATTCTGCAGCTGAGAATGGAGCTTGGGCCTGCATTTCGCAGTCAGAGGCCTTTCTGGAAGGCCTATGCAGCCAAGAACCGAGCTATGATTGAGCTATAGCTCAGTTCTTAGTACAGAGGTCTTTCCGGAATCCATACACTTAAGTGGCAATCCATAGCTGCAGAATGAAGGTGCTCCTTCGGCCGCAGAAGAAGTGGGCCGGCAAGGCAAGTATCGATCCATGGGAGGCCTTGCTGCAATGGTAAGCTCCACACCTCCACCCCAGCTTGGTTTTTAGACATGCACCTCACCCCAAAACTAGGGCTTATTTTGGAATAGAGCTTATATAAGGCCCACCCCAAAAAATCAAGTTAGGGTTTATTTTGGGGGTAGGGCTCACTTACAGGGAAACATGTATATGTTGAATAAATAAGTAATATATGTTCTCTCTGTATTATGGCTTCTGACCTGTGTATATGTTTTATATGAAGATAACTGAATGTTCTGGATTCCCATTTTTCTAATATTTTCTAATTATATTACACAGTTTGACATCATTGACACATAACCAAAGGACTTTCTATTATCAATAAAGCATATACTTATTTCTTTGGAATATTCTTGGTTTTCTCAATTATCTAAAATACATCAGCAATATTACCTCCTATTCCTCAGCTTTTTCTAAAGCCAGGTTGTTCAAGAAATTCGAGCCTTTTCTTAAAAACTAGCTTATTCATGTTGACCTTTAGTGCAAGACAATGAAAAGTTTCCAGTGCATCGAAAGACATCAAGGAAAGATTAAGACTTAACTATCTGAGATTAAGACTTAATTGTCCTTCATATAATTAAGCAATTATTAAGCAATCATATACTTCATTCCATTGAAATGGAATCCTTAGAACTTGAAGGATTGTGTACCAAGCTCTTCTTTTTCCAACTGTTAAAGCAGTCAGTCTTGTGAAGCTGCTTGAATATGTTGTTGACTTGATGATGAAGTAGCTGTGCATGTACATCCCTGCGGATACCCATGAGAAGCTTCCAAAGCAGCTATGCAGTTTTATTTTATAGATCCATTAAGAACATTTCGCAGAACATAGCTTAAGTACAAATTAGGTAACATTATCCACTGAATTTGCCTAAAGATTTAAATTTAGGTCACATGATCATCCAGCACACACTTTTGTTTCTGGATATAGATCAATATATTTTAGATTACAATTTCAATTAGGGATCAATTCAGATAGCAAAATGGGTGGACAATACAGCCTTTACCAGCAACAAGCCATCTTGTTACTTTAATTCTGGTGATGGATGCTTTCTTTTTGCTAATAAGAAATGAAGATCAGTTGCCAGATTTGATGGCTTATACACATAAAATAGAGTGTATGTCTTCTTGGGTTTCTTTACAACAGATATAAAATATTTTGGGCTGAATATGTTGCGCTAAAATATTTCAGTTTCTATTTGTTGTTGTTGTTAATTGCGAAGTCGTGTCCGACCCATCATGACCCCATGGACAACGTTCCTACCTGTATGTATATGTGTAATTCTGAATTGGCTGAGGAAAAGGGAACAAAAGTCAGTAGCATGATGCATGGATCTTTAATAGAAAATTGCATTTCCCTTTGGATTTGAGAAGTGCAGATGAAATAATGCAAAGAAGCAGGACAGTTTTATAATCACAGAAATTAAGCCTAGTTTTTTTTCAAGGAAAGG